CAGACCCCTGTGTGAGGGCCCCTTGGAGAGTGTCTCCTCCTATCCCCCTCCCCACTCCTCAGCAGTTTGCATATGGGGAATCTGAGGCCCAGGGGGGAGATGGCTTGTCCAGGGTCACACCAGGGACCAGACAGAAGTAGAACCCAATTCTCCCCACTCCTAGCCCAGGGCTGATTCCACTTCAGCTACAAAAGTGCGTCGTAAATATGTTAGCTGCTCTTTATCTCCTGGCATCCAGCCAGTTAACCGCTCTGAATGGAGGAGAGCCAAGCTGGAGGCAAGGAAACTGCTTTCAGATTTTCTTGACTCCTTAAGATGAGAACAAACAACCTTCATCCCTCACTCACTCCACACTTTGCAAAACACACTTCTATCTATAAACTGAATGGGTGGATGCTCAAAATGCCTACTAAGAGGGAGGCAGGACAAGATATCCCATCTTACTGATGGGGAGAATGAGGCCCCAGAGTGGAGAAATGACTTAACCAAGACACACGGCTAGACATGTCTACAAAATAGGGGCAGGTCTCTTGACTCCAACTCTGGTGTGTTCTCTATCACCAGCAGGACTACAGAATGGTACCCCTAAATGGAGAGAGATTACAGGGCTGATCAGAGAGGACGAGAAACAAGGAAGGCTTCTGAAGGAGGTAAGTGTGTCTGAGAATGAAGAAAAGTAATAAAGAACCTCCTGGCTTCCTCTGAGGGTAGGAGAACCTAAGATGGGGAGAGGGGACATAGGGATAGCTGTTCTTGGTAATACTGGGGGGCGGCGGAGGAGATAGGGAAACAGAAAAGGAAACAGGTGACCAGGCTGCCCAATAATTCTCTCTTATGTTTACATAATACTTTGCAATTTCTAAAACACCTTTCCCCTTTGGTCTCCCCGAGTTGCGTGTGAGGCAAGCAGGACAGGGGTAATTATCCCCATCTCATAGATGAGATTCAGAGAACATAAATGCAGTGCTCAAGGTCACATAGCCAAGCATACAGCCAAGATTGGAACCATGAAAGGCATACCTGAAAGGCAAGATTAGAGGCTGGGAGACTGGGAGTTGGACTGTGCGTGTGCAGCAGGTGTGTGTGTGTGGCTGCCCCCTGGGTGGGTACACAGGGAAGAGGGTTGCTAAGCTGCTGCTGGTGTTTTGGGGCCAAGAATGTTTGCCCTTTGGATTGAATGGGGTTCCGGTGCAGGGAACATCTGGGCTTCCAAAGGCGACTTAGAAATCCTCCTCCCCTGACTCACTTGCCCATCTGACTGAGATGGTGTCTTTGAGCTTCCCCTTCCCCAGACCAAATGGAATCTGTTTTGGCCTGCCCTTGAAGTTGCTTTTTAAGTGCTGTAAGCTGTTTTCATGAATGCGTATGTGTGTGCGCAGGGGGGAATAGTCTAATAAGAAGAGACATTTATCCACCTATTCTTGAGTGCCTGCTATAAAGAAATGTATGAGGCACAGGTTCCTACCTTCACACCTCCCAGCGCACAGTTTAGTATATCTATATCTATTTATATTTATACAGATATACACACCCAATTTCAATACAGCATAGTGCTCTAATAGGGTTTTATGCAAAGCACTTTAGGAACAGATGAGAAGAAGAGACTTAACTGGCTAGGGAGTGGGGAAGGTGGTGTCTCAGGAGAGGATCTACAGAGGTTATATTGGAGCTGGGTCTTGAAGGATGAGTAGGAGTTCACTAGGCAGATAAAAAAGAGGAAGGGTATTTTTGCCTAAGAAAACAGTATGAGCAAAGGCAAGAGGTGTGCAAGTGCAAGGAATGTTTGGGGAATGGCCTATGGCTCAGTATCATGGGACACAGGCAGTGGGGAGAGCTGTGGTGAGATGGGGCTGGAGGCAGGGTCATATCCAAAGGAGCTTGAATGATAATCGCAGGAGGTTAGACTGTCCTATAGGCAACAGAGAACTTATAGTGGAAAGATATGTGGATGAGATACCTGTTTCTGGTCCCAATTCCTAGGCTGTGAGACCTTGAGCAAGTGATTTCCTCTTGGGGTGGGGTGGTTTTTCCCACTGGTTGAATGAGGTGGTTACACCAATGACGTGATTATTAAGATCCCTTCCAGCTCAGATTCTATTTCTGTGTCTCCTTCTAACTATACGTTAAGGTTCCTCTCCCACCAGCCCACGGTGGTGATAAGACCACCAGAGGGGCCAGAGGCAAAACTGTGCATTCCCAGGAGTTATCTCTGGATCCACTTGCTTTATGTGGCCTTTTCCCCCTGCCTCTCTACCACATTTCCAAGCACTTCAGACACTCATTCTGCAAGAGAAGCTGAAACAGAGCATAGGGAAACCAAAAGAACCGATGGTGGCGTTTCACTTTTTCCCAGAGAAACCCGAAAGAAAACCTTACTAAGATATCTAGTTCATCCTCCACGTCCCAGCTTTACGCCTCCATCCCCAAGTTAGAGGCCAGGCGAGCTCAAGTCAAGAACAGTTTGGGCAAAGCTGTTAATGTGTTGGAAAGAGTGACATCAGGGTGTGGAGGAAGAGAGTGCACCTGGCTTGTATAGAAGAGCAGGAGTAGGTCTGGAGCAGAAAGGGCCATGGGGAGCAAGGCTAGAAAGGAAGGTTAACTCTTCCAAAAGTTACCAACTTCTCCCCTTACTGGATCCTCAGTTAAGATTGGCAAGAGCGACTTCCCTGGCCGTCCAGTGGTTAAGACTCTGCACTTCCAATCCAGGGGGTGCGGGTTCGATCACTGGTCAGGGAACTAAGATCCCACATGCCAGTGGTGCGGCCAAAAAAAAAAGATTAGCAAGAATCTGTAGTGCAGGAAAAAGGAGTGGTGGTGGACTTAGAGGAGATGATGCCCCAGGACATGAGGAGCCTGTGTTTGGTGTGATATGCAGCTCAGATGCCAGAAGACATTGCCATTTGTAGCGGAAAGAGCACCTGAACAGCACCCCAAAGACCTGGGTTCTCATCAGAGCTCTACCATTTACTAGCCATGTCATTTTGGACTAGTCACTTCCCCTCTCTGAACTTCAGCTTTCTCAACTACAAAATGGAGGGGTTGGCCTAGAATCTAGATTCTAAACAATCTTCAAAATCTCTTTTCAGTCACTATTCATCTCCTTTCCTAAATGATTATCTCTTGTTTCAAGTCAGGGACTCTCCACGGCAGGAGCTCTGTCTTCCCCATCCATAGACCTTCACAATCAGCAACTGTCTTGAAGAGGGAAGACAAGGAGCTCAGAAAGAGGAACAAAATTCCCCACATTGCCAGCTGCCAATTCCCAACTTGGGTCCCAGAGGCAGGTCATAGAGAACCAAGCTGTCCCTTTATGAGCTCTCTGCCTCTCCTTGCACACAGGTCCTCCATCCCACCTCAACCCAGCTTCTAAAGATATGCAACTGTGGCTCCTTTGCACGTTCCATCAGAACTACAAATATCCATCCAGGTCTATCCAGAGAGGCACTGGAAGGAGGGTGTGAGGAATAAATGGTTTTGTGAACCTTTACTCCCCTCACTGAACTCCACCTCAGAGTCCACCCTGTCCCCGACGCTTTCCCGCTACCCCCACTTTCTAACACAGAGTCTGTCTCCCCCAGGCTAGATCACCCTGGCAGGTGAGCTATAAAGAGGAAAAATGAACAAGTCAGCAAATTTGGCCTTCAGTTTATCTAGGCTGGAATACTAAGTGTAACTCAGTCCTGGGACTCTGAAGCATCTTAACCTGTGAGGAAAGAATCTGAAGTCTTCTCTATCTCGTGATTTGAGGGACTCTAGAGAGCCCCCCAAATCCTCTCCCCCCAGCCTACCCAATCTCCCAAATCTCACGTATGGTTTTGTGGTATCTTCATGTTAGAGCTGATCAGGACCTTATAAGATTACATAGAAAAACCCTTTCATTTTACAGATGCAGACAGAAGCTGGGGCCCAGAAAAGGGAAGTCACATGCCCAAAGTCACACAAGTAGCAGCTGAACCAAGACAGCTCTTTGGTTTTCATTTCTTTCACTGTAAAATGAGGGAGGTTAGATTAGATGGACTCTGAAGGCCTTGCCAGCCTCTGCTCTGCACAAATAAAACCACCACCACATCTGTGGAGCGTCTAGTGCCAGGCACTACATACTTTTCTTCTTTAATTTTCACAACAAAGCTATGGTACAGATAGTGTTGATGCCATGCCTATGTTTATACCCAGTCTATCCAAATAGGTTGATTGGTAACATCATTTGTTCCTACATAAAATAGCAACCCAATTGCTGGCTGCCATTCTGCCACTCACATCATTTCCTTGGGTCTCAGGCCCTTTCAGCCTTTTAGAGGCTCCTGCTAAGATGCCAATACCCTGGGGAAAGGGGATGTTTTAGACTGCACTGTTAGCTGGTCCCTGAGCAGCAGCTCATGTGTTGAACTGAGGTTTCTCATGAAGTCACCCAGATGAGACATTGTGAATCTGGAGTCGGGGGACAGCAGTCAGATATCCCTTGGCCATGGCACAGCTCCTATAACTGCAACCCTAGGTTGGCCTGATCCAGCTGCTGCAGGAAGGGGAGGGGAAGCGGCAGGGTGTCAGCACCCAAAGCACAGCTATTGCACAACCCTTGGGGCTTGGCCTCGGGTGATCCACCCTCGTTCTGAAGTTTTTTCTGTGTGTCTAGTTCCTTCTTTTTCTGTCCCCTCCCCACCCAGCTCTGGGCCTTCCCAGCTCCCAAAGTCAATATTGAGACCCCAGATGTGTCCAGGGACATCCTGAAGACATGTCAGGACATCCGGAGGGGCTGAGGAGCCTTAGGGCGCCCACAGGGAGATTCCTGGAGCTGACCAGGAGCCAGTGAATTTGCTGTTGTTTGGTGAGTCTTCCAGATGGAGGTGGCCCTCCGTCTGCCTCGTCAGTTCAAACCCCCATGCAAGGCTATCAAAGAAAACTGGTGACAGTGACTGCCCTGGGAAAGAAACCTGGGCCATTGGGAACAGAGAGACTGCATTTTCATTGTATGTACTGCTTCAATTTCTTTTTTCTTGCTGTGTATATGTATTTACTTCTCAAAAAATGAAAAACAGATTTTCATTTTAATGAAAACCGTGTTTTTTATTAAAATGTATTTAAAAAATCCTCTTCACTGTAATAAAAGTATATGCTCAAGCAAGCCTGGGGCAGGGGGCAGAGCAGAGATAATAATCTTTTTTTTTTCCTTTTTAATTAAAAAAAATTTTTTTTAAATTTTAATGTGGTAAAAAGCAACATAAAATTTATTGTCTTAACATTTTTAATGGTGCATCTCAGTAGTGTTAACTGTCTTTACATTGTTATGCAGATCTCTAGAAGTTTTTCATCTTGCAAAACTGAAACTCTGTACCCATTGAACAACAACTCCTGGTGATAATCTTTTTTGATAGATGAGGAAACTGAAGTGCAAACAGGGCAAGAAACTTATTTCCCTCAAAGTGAGCTCTTCCCACACTTATGCCATCTGTCTGTTGTCTGCTTATAAAACTGTCTGAGGCCCCTTCCTCCTGCAACCACTGCCTTAGCCATTCCAACCCCCAAATGCCTCTCACATCCTCTATCTGTCCCCGCCCCCACCTTGTCATCCCCTCTGCCCCAGCTCAGGACTCAGCACCTTGAACCCACACTATTTCACTTATCACTGGGCTCCCTGCCTCCATCCCTGCCCTCTTTACTCCACACTCTACACAGAAGCCAGAGTGTCCTTTCCAAGCACAGATCTGATTATTTTACCCCCTTTTAAAATATCATTCCATGGTTTTTCTCCACCTACAGGGTAAAGTTCCAACTCTGCAGCCTGGCACTCAAGGCCCTCTATGATTTGGTTTGGGCCAATGTCTCCATCCCACATCCTATCTTATCCTTTCACGCATCTTACACTCTATGCTACTTTCCATTCTTCAAAGTGTGCTTTCTAGTCCATCTGTTTGCTTCCCTTCCCTTCTCTACTTCCAAAAAATCCTTCAAGGTCCAACTCAAATTCTTCCATCACTGTGAACACTCTCTGAGCACTGGTCAGAATTCATCCCTTCTTCCTTTAAGCCCCAGTAGCTCCTACATTGTCTCCCACATTAAGAGCTGGCTTTGTGCCCCTGAGTGTAGGGACTGGCCTCCTAGAGCTCCCAGAATAAGGCTGCCCAGGAGTGGGCCTCCATAAACGATGACTGGCCAGGTGATTCACTGAGCCATTAATTTCATTGTGCTGCTCCTGCTTTCCATTAGCCCGTATGAGGAAAGAGGAAGGCACAGTTATATGCCATGTACACAGTGATGTTGTTTTCCCACTTGTTGCCTGACAAGTGGGATAGTAGATGAGAACCTATGCCTCCTCGATCTTAACTCTTCCCCTTTTCCATCCAGACAAGGTTGCCCGAGTACTAGATGGCAGGGGGCCCCAAGGCCTTGCATAAATTGTGGGCCAGTCCTGGATTATTGCTGTATTATTTTGATTCTTCCCCCCAAATTCTGCATTCTTAGAGTTCTTCATGAATATTTATCATGGTCATAACTAACTGTCATCTTTTCCGGGGAAGAGACGTGATGGTTAATAGTCAAGTTAAACAGCTCTACCTAGATAAAGGAGGGCTTTGGAACCAGTCAGTGAACACTGAGTGCCTGGCCTATAGAGAAATCCAAAGTGGCCTTCTTTACTGGAGACCACTGAGGGAAGGAGAACTAGGGTAGTCCCCTAGACTTGGAGGAGAGACACAGCCTTTCTGACCAGGAGCATGTGGTCTGCTGATAACCCTTATCAATAGCAAGAGGACAGCCACAAATTGCCTTATATGTAAGTGCTGGGGCAAAGGGAAGGCTGCGATGATAAAGCTTGTGGAGTATGTTGGGAGCACACAAAGGCTTCCTGAAGGAAGTGAGCATGGAGCCTTGTTTAAAGGAATGACATATGTTTTTCCAGAGACTAGGATACAAGGCTGCCTTTGGCTATTTTTCTACATTGTAGACTAAGGATCTCTGAGAGGAAGGAAAAGGAACATCTGCTATCACCAGTTATATGCCATGTACACAGTGACATTGTTTTGGAAGGCAGGATAGTTGAGGTGCTAGTGTCTTTTCTCTCTGGGGTGGGTATAACCCCAGACCGGACTGAGTATTCCTTTCACTCCAAAGCCCTCAGGCCCAGTGCCTGCAGTGGTTATCAGCCTTTGCCTGCTCCCCCAGCCACCTCCTTTCCAACAGAATTTCTCCTCAATAGCTAGGAATACCTAGAGTGGGACCTAGGATGCTTTAGAGGTCAAGTGACCCAGCCTCTGGCCTCCAGGTAGGGGGAAATCTAAGCCATCCCTAAACATCTTCTACATGGTATCTGTGGAGCATAAGAAAGAACTGTGCTGAGGGAGAGTTCTGAGGAATGTCTTCTAACTGTGCCACACAGTCCTCCCCAGAGCTGGTGTGGAGGCCAGAGGAGCTCTGAGCTGGCCATCGAAGAGCAGGGCTGTACCTCGGCTCTACCTCCAGTATTCTCTGTGATCATGGACAAGCCAACTATTCTCTCTGGGCCTGTGTGTAAAATGGAAGAAATTACATTAAATAATCCCTAAGGCCCTTCTAGCCTAAAGCTCAGTGACTTTTAGAACCCAAAGAAAGGACAGATAAGCATGCTTACAATGGTCAAGGAAGACTTCCTTCCACAAGTATTTATTGAGCACCTACTGAGTGCTGTCATAAGTGCTCATACATAGCAGTGAATAAAACAGACACATTCCCTGCCTTCCTTGGGCTGGCAGTCTAGTGGAGAAGACAGACAAGCAAACAAGTAGTTAGAATAAATTGTGATGTTGGGATTTTAGCTGGGGTCTGAATGAGTGGGAAGGTCATTCAATCTACAAGTAACAGAAGCCATCCTCTCTCTTTTCTGTCACTACTAGAGCATCCTCCGATTCTTCCCCCACCTGAATCCCTGTTGCTATGGAGACCACCAATGGGACTGAGACCTGGTATGAGAGCCTGCACACTGTGTTGAAGGCTCTAAATGCTACTCTTCACAGCAACTTGCTCTGCCGGCCAGGGTCAGACAACCTGACTGAGGAGAGGCGGGCCAGCCTACCTGGCCGCGATGACAACTCCTACATGTACATTCTCTTCGTCATGTTCCTATTTGCTGCCACTGTGGGCAGCCTCATCCTGGGATACACCCGCTCCCGCAAAGTGGATAAGCGCAGTGACCCCTATCATGTATACATCAAGAACCGTGTGTCTATGCTCTAATGCTAAGAGGCCGGGGATGGCAGAAGATCAAGATTCCTGAGGATTATCTTGTGGGGCCTCCAGAGCTCAGCTATGTGTTACATCAGGCCTCAGTGTTCTAATCTGTAAGATCAACAAGAAACAGTACTAAGGGAGGTCATCATTGGGGAAGGAGGAGAGGATCTAGCAGACCTAGGCCTTGTGGATAAGGATTTTTTCCAGCAAAGATAGACGTTACAGACAGTAGGAGCCCTTTGAACAAATATATAAAAGTGGCAGGAATTCCCTGGTGGTCCAGTGGTTAGGACTCCGTGCTCTCACTGCCAAGGGCCTGGGTTCAATCCCTGGTCGGGAAACTGAAATCCCACAAGCCGTTCAGTGTGGCCAAAAAAAAAATAATAATAAATAATAAAAAAAAATATATATATATACACACACACACACACACACACACACACACATATATATGTATATATATATATAAAAGTGGCAACATATAATGACAAATGAGTGTTCTAGTGGCCGGAGTGTTGGGGGCTAGGGGCTAGAGGAAGGAAAAGAGGAAGTTGTAGCAGAGGGAAATGAGACAGGAAAATGCCCTGAGGACACATTTTTTGATGTGTTATCTTCAATGACCATGAGAAGCAGCAATGATTATCTCATATCACAGACAGGAAATCTAAGTTATGTTACTTACTTATATTTTTTCACATTTTATGTTTTTCAGCCCATTTAACATTTGTGATTTTACCCCCCGTGAGGGAAGCAGAGCAAATGCCATTCTGCCCATTTGGGCCAAAGCAGTACCATGACTGGAACCCAGGTTCTCTGGTCACCTTGCCTAGTGCTTTGCAAAACTGTGTGCTACCTAGGAGTGGATCTAGGCCTGAAACTTATATAATTCTGGGGGGCCCTCCTTAAGAAAAAGAATTTTAAAATATCTTGTTTTTGCAAGTATTACAAAAACATATCACCATGTTAATACATTGTTGGGGCCCCTCCTAAGATCTTAAGAAGGAGCCATGCAAGTACAGAGCCCTGACTGTTAAGCCTCATTAGCTCCATGGTCCCTGTGCCCTTCCACCAATGTCCCAGTGCCTTTCCCAGCCCCATCTCCAGTCCTGGGGACTTCACTACCTCTAAGGCAGCCTCTAACATTTTGAATGAATTCTGTGAGTAATTTTCTGATATCAAGTTGAAATCTGCTTCTAGAAGATTATTATCACACCTAGAAGATTACCATATTAAAAGAGGCAGGTACCTGATTCAGTGGAAAGAGAACCAGCCCTGATTCTACTACCAGTGTGGTATATAAACTGGCTAGACACTTCCCTCTCTGACTCTTGTCCTTCTTCAGCACCGTGAAATAGAAAGTTGAAATAGTTGAAAGCCTCTAAGGGCTCTACCAGATCTGATATTCTAGGCTTCACGTACATTGATTTGAACCACATAAAACTGCTCTCCTGGACTTCCCTGGTGGCGCAGTGGTTGAGAATCTGCCTGCTAATGCAGGGGACACGGGTTCAATCCCTGGTCCGGGAAGATCCCACATGCCGCGGAGCAACTAAGCCCGTGCGCCTAGAGCCCACATGCTCTGCAACAAGGGAAGCCACTGCAATGAGAAGCCCGCACACCGAAACAACGACCCAATACAGCCAAAAGTAAAAACAAATTTATTTTAAAAAAAAGTCAGGAAGTTCCAATGAATCCAAGAGTCACACACACACACACACACACACACACACAAAACTGCTGTGCTTGTAGGTCAAAAACAGCTGAATATCAGTAGTTTCACATGCTTCAGCTGAATACATGAAATGTGGCCAGCTACAAATACCAGGCTGGAACCTCCCACTGTTCTGTTTAATTTCTGTTATTAAGGAATCTCCATGGGGTCTCCAGAAAGCCCTATCAAAACATACATATTTGTGTATATCAAAAACTTTGAAAGCATATTTTGAGAGCACTTATCTCTGAAGAGAAGGATTATGGGTGATTTTCCCTTTCTACTTTAAAAATTTATGTAATATTTGATTTATTTGACCGTAAGTATGTTTCTTATATAATAAGGGGGGGGGGAAGCTACTTTTACTTTGAAAAAATGAAAATAAACACCTGTGTGTTACTTGAATGGAGGATCACAGAACACATTTGCTCCCATGAGCAGTTAGTCATGTTGATTCCAGTTAGGAATGTTGATTCCATGCAAATCAGTGCTGAGCCCCACGTGTGCTCTCAAGCCTTTCCTCATATCTTCTTGAGAGAGAAGGTGGAGACCTGCTTAAGAAGACGTGACATATAGGTGGACAACGGACTCGAAGTCTACAGCTGGATGGGACTTTGGAGACTGCCCAGCCCAAACACCCAAATAAAATACGGAATCCCAACAAGAATAAGAATGAATGTCAGGTAATGGATGCTATCAGGATTTTGAGAAATGAGATTGAGTGGATGCAGAGGAGCCAGAGAAAGGTAGAATTTGAACTGGGCTTTGAGAGATAGGACAGATCTACGTGGGCAGAGAGAATGAACGGAACAAGACAAGGGAAGCTTGGAGGCAGAAATGTGGCAAGACCACCCTCCTGAAGAGAGCAGGTCGGCGGCTGGATGGAGCAGGAAGCAGCCCAGAGTGGCTGCGCTGGGAGTTCAGTGTCCCCATCTATGGGGGAGACTCCCCTTCACACAGTCCTTATACTCACAGGGCTTAAAAATAGAGTAATACAAATTCTTTTGCTTGTAAGTTACAGAAATCCAGTGTGTATTAGCATAAGCACAAAAGGGGATTTATTGAGAGGAGTATGGGGTAGTTCAAAAGAGGAGCTACCAGGGCTTCCCTGGTGGCGCAGTGGTTGGAAGAGCCCACATGCCGCGGAGCGGCTGGGCCCGTGAGCCATGCCTGCGCGTCCGGAGCCTGTGCTCCGCAAGGGGCTCAATATACCTCATTATGTACACTCAACGTTGGGCTAAATAAAAATATAAGATTTTAAGGTATAATTTAAACATTCTAATATTTTATGATGTAGGTATTCCCCTTGGGTCTCCCCCCAGCTCTATCCCACTGCCTCCTTCAGCCCATAGGCTCTTTTGGCTGCACTGGTTCTGCCCTCTGCTGGCCAGATCCCAGCACATCACCTTGGGCCCTCAAAGCAAAACTTCAATAATCACTCATTCAGACGCTGAGTGCCTACTATGTGCCATGCACTCATCTAGGCACACTTGGAATACATAAACAAATGAAAATGATCAAAGAAATCCCTGCCTTAATACTTAAAAGCACTTAATACTTAAGATACTACATGTCAGGCTATGGCCTAAGTATTTTACAGACATTAACTCATTTAGATTTTAAAACCTTCATAACATCCCTATGTAGCAGGTATTCCTTACAACTACTTCAGTAGAGCCCACTTGTTCTTCACGTAGCTCCTTCCTCACTCTCAGCCCAATTTCAGCACCATGGCATACCCAGCCCAGACCATGGGTTTGAACGGTCCCCGGAGATGATTTGGGAAGATGACGGCAGAGTATTGACATCAGTAGACTGAAGTTGGGTTCCCTAGAAGCAAAGTCTGAGACAGGCATTTATTGAGGGAGCACTTTTTGGGGGAAACATGCAAAGGAAAGAGTGAAGTAGATAGGAAAGGGAACAAGACAAACAAGGTACATGTCAGGTCACATCTAGCCCTGGCCTGATCCACAGGGAACTGGGGCATAAACCACAAGGCAGACTTACACCCCCTTGAGGCAAAGGGGCCGGGCTTTTATGCCCCATATCAGTCAGTCATTGCTTGTGGGCCACCCTGGTGGGGAGGGGGAAGAGAGGAGGGTTGTGAGGAGGTGCCCATCAGCTGAGGGCAGGTCTCTGGAGAAGGGTGGCACCTGTGAGCAATTGCAGCCTAGACCAGTTGTCTTGGTTGGAGATCTGCAACAGCCTAGTTCCTCAGGAAGGTTCTGAAGCTCAATTTTCATCGCAGGATCAGCCCCATCTTTAGTGATTATCCTTTTCTACCCTGTGTCAGTCACCATTGACTGCTGGCTGCTAGAGGGGGGCATGTAACCTCCCACGGGTGCTCACGTTTGGCTGAGCTGGAGAAGGCAGCAACTCTGAGGTGACAGCAGCCAACACTCACAGCAGCTGGGGAAGGGGCCACACGGGGGCTCCGTCAGCATCCACAACAGCTGTGCTATTGGGGAAATGGGAGCAGAAGCAGAGTGTCACATCTTGTGATCTCCTTCTAGCTTAAGAGCCAAGAAGCACACACTAAATAAAGAACAAAACAAGATTACACCAAAAAGAACCCAATAGGAAACAATACACTTAAGTACAGAAAATGTGGGGAACCAATATTAAATGTGATGGTCAAGAAGAGGGAGAGGGATGTATTCATGGATGTTTCCTGGAGATGTGAGGTAGGATTTGATTAGGTGGTCCAGTGTAGTATGGTCCAAGGCAGCATTCCAAGTAGGTGGATGGCTCTGCTCTACTCAGTCATTCAGGGACCTGGGATTATGACAGCCATCCTCAACGTGTAGCTTCCAAGTTTACTCTGGTTGAAGCATTTCTAGTTAGTGAGGAGAGAGAAAGAACAGAATTCCAGAGCCTAAGATTTGCTCTTAAGCAAGCAAGGTAAAAGCTGCATACATCCCATCTTCTCACATCTATTGACAAGGGTTCAGTAACATGGCCACAGCTGGCTGCAAGCAGCCAAACCTCAATTACTAAGGAAGAAAGAATGGATTTTGTGGACAGCTAGTGGTCTTCACTCTACCCTCCTCACTTTCCCCAGGACGGGTCATGATAAAAAAAATGTAGAGTCCTGGGAATTCCCTGGTGGTCCAGAGGTTAGGACTCCGTGCTTTCACTGCTGAGGGCGCGGGTTCAATCCCTGGTCAGGGAACTAAGATCCCACAAGCCGTGTAGTGTGGCCAAAAAAAAAAAAAAAAAAAAGTACAGTCCTGCCAAGAGGAAGAAGTGCTATTATTCTGATTCAGTCATGTTTTCTGAGGGGTGCAGGCGGGAGCCTTACAGGTCTAACTAAGCCTGTCCTGGGAATGTGACTTTTGCTCTTTTATTTATTTTTTTTCTGGCTCTGGTGAGTCTGGTCTCTCCTCTCATTGGAGTGGTAATATCCAAGATATTTGTTTAGGCAAAGGGGAAATAGACAAAGCAAGTCTTTCAGCCAGCTTTGTGTAGGAAAAAGAATCCTCTTTCACGTGCCACTAGGAAACCAAGAACATGATCTGCCTGGATGAAATCAGAGAACCCATCTATGGTTAAACTGTGACAGAATGAGGTCTAG